TTTTAGGTAAACATTATGAAAAAGTAGCGTCTTATACACAGAAAAATACGGTACATAGCTGAATATATCAGAGACACTGTTGACCTAGGTATTCAGTGTTATTTAAAGGCAGTACTGGGGAAATAAGGAGCCCTCTGTGCTGTGAAGAGCACGCTCCACCCCTCGTCCTTCAGGACAGGAAGACACTGCGGCGTGCTCCATATCTGCCATGGGCACGACCTATCTGCATCCCATCCTCTTTATTGTCCGCCGTGTTGTGGGACCTTAGAGATCCCCTTCTGGACCCTGCTGTTGTAAAGTGAGGTTATCTGGGCAGTTGTACTCTCCCTATTCACTTGGAGGAGGCGGGCCATTGTCCTCACCTTTCTCATTATCCAGGGGTTTTTGCTCACACTGACTCTTACTCAATGTTTTCTGTTGCTTGCACCACTCTTTGTAAACTTTGGAGACCGTGGTGCACGGAAACCCCAGGAGCTCAGCGGCTTCTGCAGTGCTGCGACCAAGACGTCTGGCGGCAACAATCATTCCACGTTCAAAGTCACTTACATCATCCATCTTCTAACACTTGGCTGTCCTCTTCCAGAAAGCTGGATCCCAGCATAGCACCTAAAACAAGACGTTAAACCATTAGGGTGATGCAAATTTTATAAACACCACTATATAACAAGTAATGTAGTCCTATAACCATCACTTTGTACCGATCAGCCATAACACAAACACATAATATTGTGTAGGCCCTTTTGCTGTCAAAACAGCCCTGACCCATCGAGGCATGGACTCCACTACACCTCTGCAGGAATGCTGTGGTATCTGGCGCCAAGCAGTCAGTAGCAGATCCTTCAAGTCCTGTAAATGGCACAGTGGGGTCTCCCTTGTTCCCCACGTGCCTCAATGAGCCTTGGCCACCCATGGCTCTTTCTCTGGGTCCTTGGGTCACTTTTGGTAAGACCCGACTATGGCAGAGCAGGAATATCCCACAAGAGCTGCAGTTCTGGAGTTTCTCTGACCCAGTCGTCTAGACATCACAATTTGGTCCTTGTCAGTCGATCAAATCCTTACACTTCCCCCATTTTTTCTGCATCCAACACATAGTCAGGGACAAAATGTTCACTTACTTCCAAATCCACTGTAAGCCCCCGCCCCCCCCTTATCTGGAGATGGACTTTTACATAGCAATTCACCAAGCAAAATCTTCACTTAAGTAAGCAACCTTGAAGCAAAACCATTGGGGAGGAAAGCATGCGGAAATGTTGGAGTATGGGTTTCGTTACGCACACACAAGGTTATGGGTAATAAGCTTTGATACTCCAATGTCTATATAGGCACAGTGATCTTACCAATGGCTACAGGATACACCAGTGGTAATTTTCCTATGTGCCGCATTCAGTTTCCCCTGCATGAGTTCCCATTAGAATAACACCAAAGACCACCCCTACACAATAGATAACTTCACTGCGATCACACATTTTTGAAAAAGAACAGTGACGGTGTTCTGTCAAAAGCTCCAACTCGTCAAGATCTCCAACTGGTGACGTCACGTCCGGTGACTTGCCAGTAGGAGATTTAGCTCCGATCGCGCTACCGCCATCTTGTCTAAATCTGCTACTGGCAAGTAACCGGATGCAACATCACCAGTTGTAGAGGTTGATGAGTTGGAGCTTTCGACAGAAAAAGTCTAAGAGGTCCATCCAGGCTGCCCCATTTTGCATCAACCAGAGTGCCATCTATACACTGTACTGCAACGTATATCTGAAATAACACTCAAGTGGCAAGCACTCATTGTCAGCACTAGGGCTGAAACAACTAATCGATAATGACAATCATTGCATCACATCAGCTTGTGAGCCCCCCCAAGCCCCCACGCGATAGCAATGTAGTTAAAAAAAATAGGAGGTAAATAAAATCAAAAATACCCCCAAAAAGTTCCCTGACCCCGCAAACTAACGGAAACACTAGTCGGGTGCACCTACGTATGAAACGGACGATTGCCCTACACATGCCAGATATCGCCGCGTGCACCGGAGAGCAATAATTTTCTGGCCAATATTCATGGCGAACTCTAAACTGATGATTTTATTCTGAAGTAAAATTTGTAACACTATTTGTATATTTCACTAACTAAAAAAAAATATATATTTTTTTCCCTTTAACCGATTAATCTAAAAAATAAATCTGCCAACTAATCGATTATGAAAATAATCGTTAGTTGCAGCCCTAGTCAGCAGACTAATGAGAAGCGTTTCTTGTTAACTGGACAGATTTATTGAGCGCCTGCCATCTGGTGACAGGTTCTCTTAGAGCCCACCGCCTCCAGCGAGGGATGGAACCACCATGTGCAGCTCATAACATCACACCTCCCAGGACGTCACATCCGGTGCTTCCATTTCAGAGAACACGTGAAGCCGTCTACTCCTTTTACTATAGAACACAATGGCCTACCCGGCTGGAATACAATGAGGTGTTTGGCGTCACAGCACATGACGGTTAATCCTATACCCATGTTCCTAATTTACATAAATAGTGATAAATTACCTATACCCGTTATTACCGTCCCCACCATCTACTCTCCCACCCCTACTTACCCCCTATTGCTTCTGCGTCATCGCTTTATGTAGCAAAGGAGCATGGAATTGCACACTCCGCACACCTTATTGGTCCTCAGCCTCGCTGCTCATACCCTCAATTTCTCATTGGCCCTCAGCCCCCTCTAGTCCCGCCCGCTCTTCCCCTGAATTCCTCATTGGTCCCTAACCCATCTCAGTCCCGCCGCTCTACCCATCAATTCCTCATTGGTCCCCCTGCTTTTATCCTCGATTCCTCATTGGTTGGAAGCCTCCTCACCCTCATTGTATACTAGCGCGATGTTTGGCCGATAGTCCTCTTCCGCCCTTCTAATCCGTTCAAATCACGTGAATGATGAGACTGAAGCAGCGAGGGATCGTTACAGGGGTAATGGAGAGCAGTGTATACGGCTCTTATGAAGGCTCCAGACCGACCCGACAGATGTCAGTGGTTGCTATGCACTATAACAATCTGATTATACAGCCAGCCAGGTATCTCATTCCCAATGCCCAGTATGAGCAGTCAGGTACATCATGTACCCACCATGTTCTGTCCTCCCCCTCCTGGGCCCTCTAGTGGTAAAACTGCACAGTGGGGGCACACTGTTCTGCCCTAACTCTGCTTTATACATGTAATCACTAACACCACATAGCTTCCCTACTGCAGCATGGAATTTTCAGTGCTGCTATTCTGTGTCACAATGAGGTTTGTGCCGACATCTTGCTACTCCCACAGGAGCCACTGTGGAATGAGAGGCATGGGAGCACCATCTTGCCACACCCACTGCAGTCATACTGAAAACTAAGGTGTTCTGTCGAAAATTCCAATTTCTCGAAATCAAGTTGACTTGCCCAGTAAGCGGTGTGGGTGAGTTGGCTTCAGTGCCCGTGTGCACCACCCGCGGCATTTTCCCGTTTCTTATAAAGTTAGACCAACCTCTTCCCTGCCCAGCTTCAGAAGCCTTATCGAGTTCTCCTGCACAGGAAGACTATTGCCCGACTCTGGCAGCCATATTGAGTGGGGCAACTCCATAACAGATTAGTGGCATCTTAGTTGGTTATAGGACTGAAGAGCATGGTTAAACTTGATGCGACGCGTAGTAAGTGGCGCACGCACACTAGTGCCAACTCACCTATACAGCTGCGAGTATACACTCTAACTATGAGTTGTTTCCAGTGAAGGGTTCTGGTAATACTACGGCAAAGACATTATAGACAATTGTGAACTTTCAACCTTATGGGGACAGTTTGGCGACGGCCCGTTTGTTCCTGCATGACTGTGCCCCCTGTGTACAAAGCCAGCTCCAAAAAGACATGGTTGCATGAGTTCAGTGTAGAGGGACTTAAGGTCCTGCAGAGCCCTGACCTCAACCTTAATTAACCCCTTTGGGATAAATTGGAACATCCCTTGTTTGCCAACTTGACCTTCAATGACTGACAGCCATGACTCCCAGAGGCATATCAGAATATTTTTTTCAGCACAGCTGGAGTGCCGAGGCTGCCTAACCCTGGTCTACTCCATCACACTCGCATTGGAGTCCAGGCAGTCAGCTCAGCACAGGGTGAACGGCGGCTTCCAGATGGCTCCGTGCTATAAAGGATTCGTACTGTGCAGTCAGTTCAAAGGAGACAAATAGGACTAAGTTGATACAACTTTATTGGAATGGCAAAAGAAAAAAAACAGAGGTGATCAATCACATGTTTAAACAAACTTTAGTTACATAGCTGAAAATTTCAGAGGCACTATTGACCTATGTATTCAGTGTTATTTAAAGGCAGTACTGGGGAAATAAAGAGTCCTCTGTGCTGTGAAGAGCACGCTCCACCCCTCGTCCTTCAGGACAGGAAGACACTGCAGTGTGCTCCATATCTGACATGGGCACAACCTATCTGCATCCCATCCTCTTTATTGTCCGCCATGTTGTGGGACCTTAGAGATCCCCTTCTGGACCCTGCTGTTGTAAAGTGAGGTTATCTGGGCAGTTGTACTCTCCCTATTCACTTGGAGGAGGCGGGCCATTGTCCTCACCTTTCTCATTATCCAGGGGTTTTTGCTCACACTGACTCTTACTCAATGTTTTCTGTTGCTTGCACCACTCTTTGTAAACTTTGGAGACCGTGGTGCACGGAAACCCCAGGAGCTCAGCGGCTTCTGCAGTGCTGCGACCAAAATGTCTGACGGCAACAATCATTCCACGGTCAAAGTCACTTACATCATCCATCTTCTAACACTTGGCTGTCCTCTTCCAGAAAGCTGGATCCCAGCATAGCACCTAAAACAAGACGTTAAACCATTAGGGTGATGCAAATTTTATAAACACCACTATATAACAAGTAATGTAGTCCTATAACCATCACTTTGTACCGATCAGCCATAACACAAACACATAATATTGTGTAGGCCCTTTTGCTGTCAAAACAGCCCTGACCCATCGAGGCATGGACTCCACTACACCTCTGCAGGAATGCTGTGGTATCTGGCGCCAAGCAGTCAGTAGCAGATCCTTCAAGTCCTGTAAATGGCACAGTGGGGTCTCCCTTGTTCCCCACGTGCCTCAATGAGCCTTGGCCACCCATGGCTCTTTCTCTGGGTCCTTGGGTCACTTTTGGTAAGACCCGACTATGGCAGAGCGGGAGTATCCCACAAGAGCTGCAGTTCTGGAGTTGCTCTGACCCATCACAATTTTGGTCCTTGTCAAAGTCGCTCAAATCCTTACACACTTCCCCCATTTTTTTTCTGCTTCCA